ATTATGCCAGTTCTCTTCCAATACCAGTGGTTACCAATTGAAGTCCAGACCCAATTAAAAGTGCTTGCACTAATATTTAAAGACCTAAATGTCATGGGTCCAGGTTATCTAAAGGTTATCCACATATGTCAACCCAGACTGAGGTTGTTGTCTGAGTTCCTTCTCAGAAAGCCATATTTGAGGAAAGGGAGGTGGTTATGAGGAGGAATGGCCTTTTTGGTGATGGCACCCCAATTATGAAATCAATTCTCCAAGAAGGTGCACCTAACACCCATTCTTTATTCCTTCCAGTGCCAGGTAAAAACTTTTTTATTCACCCAACATTTTAACAGTAATTTTAATTATCTTAAAAGATATTTTCTCTATATTGCATGTTACTGTGTTTTACTGCTCCGGGATTGCTACTGTGGATTTATTGTGACCCTATTGTTGCTATTTTAGCATTGCTTTTATATTGATGTATTATTTATCTTTGATATTAATGTATTGTTTTTTATTTGTTAATTTTGATTATGTAAACCACCCAGAGATTCAATTTGGCAAATGGATGGTATGGAAAGAACAGAACAGAACATAAGCTTGACCTGTATACTACAGCTCCAAGCTGGTCATGTAATTATGGAATAGGCCCATGGTGGTGGAGGTGGTGGTGGTTTTATTTTCATTTCTATGCCACCTCATAGAAAGGTTTGGTGCTGTAATCTGCCCCTGTGCACCCACAGATAGGACTATACAGAGCACCTCTCAGAGAACAATATGGGTAGAGATTGGGTTTTCTTAACTCATTCTATGAACTCTAGTGGATGTCTTTTTGTCTTTGGAGGCCATCTTTATACGTCCCATTTTACAAGATAGTATTTATTTGTATTGGAAGCCGCCCCAAGGCTTTTGCGAATGGGGCGGCATAGAAGTGTTCCAAATAAAGTGTTCCAAATAAATAAATAAATAAATAAAAAGATGCTTATATTTTATAAGCATCATACAGAATATGATCTAGACAAAGTTTAAGTCTCAAAAATATCAGTAAGAGAATTAAACACATGCTTAAATCTTTCTTATTGAAACTAATATACTTTAAAAATCTTAATTTTCACTTGTACCTGCCTGTAGTTGTCAAAATTAACTATAACAACTGGGATTGAAATAAAGTTTTCTGTGCTAAATTGTCATAGCAGTAGCACAACATGATGGTTATGCTAGTCATAAACAAAATACTCAATAATGGCACCAGAACTTGGTCCAAACATTTCTAGTACTAATTTGGAAGGCAGATTTGATTTAATTTAATTTAATCTTTGGAAATTCTAATTTGCTCCTAAATAAAGTCGGTGCCAGTTATAGGTTTAAAAGACTTATCTGAAAGCAACATTTTTGTTAATTTGAAATAACACAGGTTGAAAGATGGCTGTTCAATTGATGGAGCCAGGACTTTAAAATAAATTCATTCATATTGCTTGAAGTGGTACATTATCAAATTTTTGTCAGCTGCTACTGCCAAAATAAGGCTTATGCATTTTGGATATGCTAATAAAGGCATGCTCCATTGTGGGCATCTCTGGAGTTATAAATGTTGAATCCTCTATGATATCTGGACACAGAGGCTTTTTAAAATTCCTTTTGCAACATTAATGATTATTTGTTGCCCTGATTCTTACTATTTATGCTGCTGGAGTCTTTTCAATATAATTATGCAATCATTTCTAAGAAACAAGCAGATTACACTTCTAAAGCTTCATGTATTTCATTTTTCAGTATATATTGACAAAAAGTGGCCTCAGAATATATAAATCCCAACATTTTTGGAAAAAAGCAGAGGTCTAAACTTAATCTTGGGGCCCAAAATCAGCATAAGAGCTGCAATACAGTAGAGCACACTGAAAGGTAATTGGCCCTAATCCAGTTATAGTCACAGGCAGCAAGTCATGCATAACAATTGGTGGCCCTGAATGCAGATGCACATCCCTGTTGACATCAAAAGATGCATCCAGCCAGTTTAATCTGCATATGGAACTCTCTTGCTGGATGAGTGACTACCTTTAAGAGAATAAACAGATTTTCATAAAAAAAGTGTATTTAGAATCAACTAGCAGTACATTTTAGTACATAGATTTTTATGTTACTCAGCCAAAATTAAGCATTTTAAATGGTTTCTTATAGTTGCATTCATTCCAAGGAGATACTTTTAAAATCAGTAACAAATCTTATTAATTAAATGAATCAATCAGATTAATTATGCAATGCTCAAAATAGCTGAGCCAGGCTATATAATTCATTCTTGGATTTGTTTGATACTGAACAGGACAGAAAAAGCAGTTCATTTGGGACAGTGGCAGATGTAAAGACATAGTTAACATGGTTAGATGCTCTAATAATAATATAAATAAAATCAAGATGAAAACAGCTATACTAGTGATATACAGTATAGAATCTAAATATTTATCCTGAATATTATTGTAAGAGGCAGCAAAGTCATATGGTAATATGCTGACAGGATGGGAATTGCTGACACTGGCCCATAAGGCTCATAATTGCTGACACTGGCCCATGGCATACAGTCCTTAAGTATGTTCAGACAAAGAATAGCAGTGACAAAGTGGGAATGGTCCAGTACTTGCTTTTAATTAATGGTAATGGTTAAAGGACAACTTCGCCACAGGAAACTTTGTAGGATGTAAACACTTCGTAAGGTCCTCTAGACAGTCATAATGAATGCTTGTCTTAATGTTCTGTCATAGCACACAATATAATTGAATTTGTTGGTTAGCATATATTTTCGTTGTATTTGTATCCTGTGCTTTTTCCAAAGAGTTTAGAATAGCACGTATATAAACCTGCTCAGACACTAAGATCAACTACAGAGAACACAGGTACTCATATTTTAGCAGGCAACCTAAACATTTTGTGCTGGCCCCATTTTTACCAGATTAGTGTTAGCATTAGTATTTCTGTACCATCCAATAGCTGAAACACTCTGGGCCATTTACAACAATTCATTAAAAATACAATAAAATGCCACAATTTTACCCAAAATACAAACATGTAAAAACAAATTTAAAAGAGCTAACACAGCTTATCATGAAGAATACATCCGTAAAACATCTGCAATAGGTAATCAACTCAAGCTATTGAACATCCTCCGTATGTATCCTTAAATGGCTTAGCATAAAGGGCTATCTTAACTTGGCTCTGAAAAAATGAGTGTTGTGACCAGGCAGGCCTCAGTGAGGAGGTCATTCCATAGTTAGGGGCTACCACTGAAAAAGTCTTCTCCCTGGTTGCTGCCCTCTCAGCCTCCCTCAGAGCTGGCAGTCAGAGGATGTTCAGCATTGTGATCGGGTAGATAGTAGTTAGGAAAAATGCTCCATGGAGTATTGCAGATTGAAATTGTTCATCTGGTTTTCTAGTTGACTGTTTTAAAACAGGCCTTAAAGATGTAGATGTTCCAGTTTGCTTTTAAATGAATGGATGAACATTTTTCTATTCATTTTACTGTTGTGTTATTTTAAATGCCTGTACTACTGTTAATTATTTACATTGTATATTTCAGTATTTTAATTTTTTATTTTGCTGATTGCCTTCAGGAGGCTTCCCTTGAAAGGCTGTACAAAAACATTTTAAATAACTAAATGTAACCTCATAATCAGCTTGTGAGGCACATTAGAGTAGGAAAGAATGATTACACCATGAGCTTGGCATTATAACTGAAGACTGACCAATAGTTTGTGAATGACTATTAGCCAAAATTATACTGAAGCGATATCATGATAAGGGCATTTCTGATATTTCTTTATTGACACAAGGTATTTGCAAATGCCATAAGGTCATTGCTGTCTTGTAGCTAGGCTGTTTGTATAGACAGCTATTCTCTGCCCCTGCTCCCATATTATTATCTTGTATACTCTAGCTAGAGAAGGATAGCTATTATTATTAACTGCTGACAGAATGTGACCTAAAAGCTTCAGTACAAACAGAAAACTTTAAGAGTAGGCAATAATGTTTTCCTAAATATGTTATCTCCTAGTGGGATAACACTTTCTATTAAATAGGTAGATTGACAACACAGAAAAGCAACAAACATGAGAGCCAGTGTGGCGTAGTGGTTAAGAGCATGGGACTGGGACTCGGACGATCTGGGTTCTAGTCCCCGCTCAGCCATGGATCCAACTGGGTGACTTTGGGCCAGTCACAGACTCCCAGCCCAACCTACCTCACAGGGTTGTTGTTGTGGGGATAAGATGGAGGAGGAGAATGATGTAAGCTGCCTTGAGCCCTTTGTAGGAAAAAGGTAGGATATAAATCGAAGAGAAAAAAACAATTTTATGAGATTAAAACAGAACACAACACTGCACAAAAAACAAAAAATGGTAAATCCAGCCTTTCAGGATCTTCAGCTAGATGTTAAGGAACATGCTTTTTCATCAGGACATTGTATTAACAAGTTATTTTATCATTATCACAGAAATCAAAGAAAGTAAGGGTCTTGTTAGTCAATATGGAAACCAAGGACTGTAAATGCCCAGATGATGATGATGATGATAAAATGGATATACTGGGTGTATAAAAAATTATGTGATAATATCTTACTGTTTGCTGGATATTGAACTGCTTAGAGTTGTCAGCAAAAGAAGAAGGGTATAGCAGAAGATGAGGTGGCTAGACGGAGTCACTGGGGCAGTGGGTGTGAGCTTGGGTGGACTCTGAGGGATGGTGGAGGACAGGAGAGCCTGGAGGAATGTTGTCCATGGGGTTGTGATGGGTTGGGCACGACTTTGCGACCAAACAAACTAACAAAACTGCTTAGAGTGTCATTTCAGATTATTGAGCAGTATATAAATTTGAAAATAGATAAAATAAAGCTTATCAAGAATAAAAACTTGTTCTCAACAAATATAGCAATTTCAGTTAATAACTTTGGTCAGCATATACAGCAAACATACTAAACATGTCAACTGAAAACGTGTTAATTTGAAGAAATAACTGAGTTTGTTGTTTAATTTCAGATGGGAGATGAAGGAGGAAGAAACTGTGGAAGAGAAGGAAAAAGAGATGTTGGAGCACTTAAAAAAACTGTATCTCATGCCAACATCTCCTGCTTCAGAAGTTGAACAGAGAACTTGACAAGAGTACCTTTTTCACTCAACATTCTTCAACTCAGAAAAGTAAAGCAACCTGTGATACCTTGAAAACTGTTGGCATTCCAAACTCTGTAGTTTATACAGATTTTCTTTTGTTGATAGCCTTTCTTGGAAATGGTTAGGCACTATATTTTTCATTTTTGTCTTACTTAGCTTTATATGGTTATTTTCCCCTTCTAAAGCATTATGAGATTGTTTTTCGAAATTTAAATTACAGTAAATTGTAAAGATAAAAGTATTAAGATTACCAGTGATGCCTAGTAACTTTGACGCACACTAAGAACTAGAAGCTTAAGGACAGTGCAAAATATTACATGACTATCTAGTTCAAATGAAAATACTAAAAGTGTCTGCACACAAGGGATGAAATATTACACTGGAGTACTGTTTCACATGTTAGTACAATGGAAGCACTATCTTTAAAGGCTACATTAAGAGTGTCTTTTAAAATTTAAAACACATTTTAGTACCAGTTGCATTTTGGGAGCTTTTATAGTTTACCAGTTTATTGAACTGCCATAGTAAAGTTGCGTTCTTGCACACACTTACCTGGAAGTAAGTCCCACTGAATTCCATGAGGCATACTTCTGAGTAGTTATATATAGTGATTCTACTATGTCTACTGCCTCTTGAATATTCAAAAGATGAAAGTTTAATGACAGGTTTCATTTTCTAAGTTTACTCTTAGTACTTGTCCAAAAGTAGTAAAAACTGTTTAATGCCACACTTTTGATCCCCCAAAATGGGAATTTTGAGAGCTTGTTTAGTTTATAAGAGTGATGGATTAATGGCATAGCATTAATAATGCTATATGACTATGTCTTTCTTATATATCCATTCATACACTGTAGATAAAGAGTGCATTTCTACAGAAGGTAGTAGCTAGAGAATATGAAAAGAATAAAATAGCACAATTCACCTTTTATTAATATTTAACATTGTAGTATCTCAAGGTCTGCAGGAGATTTACTGCAGAAAGTTCTTATTTCTGTCTAAATCTTTTACACGGACCTTTCTATAAAAACAGCCAGAGGATCGGAAAGGATGACAATGCCTTCCTCTGTACTTCCCTCTTTTCTGCCTTGACCTCTCAATTATCTTCATTAGTATAAATATTTACATTAGGCAGAATACTTGTTATATTAAGTACAAGAATCCCAGAGGCTGTGAATCTTTTGGGAAGCCTGTCACGTGAGAGCATCCACATCTTCTCAGACAGGACTGCAATTCTCAATACACTTAGTGGTGAATCATCCTCACAGACACTAAGGAAGAATCTTCATAACTAGGCTTAATGAAGAGATGTGATATTGAGTTGTTCAGTGGAAATGCTGCTCTTTCTCTTCAGAAGCTTTTTCAAATCCTCCAGTACTGCATTCAGGAAATGAATGTATAAGTATTTTCAGCTTTATGCTGGTGGTATTTCTAGGGCTACCAGTCAAAATACTTTGCACTGCTATTCTTTTCCTCATTGGCCTATTTTTGTGGAAAGACAAATGACAGAGGCATTGAAAAAGCATAGGAAGGTTACAAGTGGAAAATGACATCACCTGGAGGCCCCTCCCACTCGAATTTTGTAAACAAGGCAGGCTGAAGGCATGTTAAATGACTCCTCAGAATGTTCCCTACATCTTCATAAGCAAGGTGTTTAGATTCCAAGCTTTCAGTAACTAACCATATTCCCAAATTATATTTGAAAATTATTTGTTGTTGAACTATGCTCTGAAATAGCTGGTGGTTAACTTGGTACGCTGATACAATTTTAATTTTGTCAATATCCATCTCCTAGTAAACAAAACATTTATATAACTGGAATCTAATTACATGTCTCTCTTATACCGGTAATGCAATTTGTCTGTTTATATCAATCTTACGTTCTTCCATTCATTTACCACACTTCCTCTTGAAACTTTTTATTTTATATATATATATATATATATATATATATATATATATATATATGCGCTTGTAAAGAATTTATTTTAGTGCTTGGTATCCCTGAAAATGATTGTGATGCAAGAAATAAAAATAGTAACAGGTGTTACTGGGTAACTTTTTAAATATTGCTCAGGAAGTGGGAGGGAAAAAGTCATAGGTCATGAACAAAATACATACATTTACCTTTAATAACTACTGTTCCTGCGACTGCTATATGATCTTTTCCATTGCAAGGCCATTTTGTAGGCTCCATAGGCTACAAAGCTATTGATTCTAGAACTACTCCAGATTGCCAGTGGATAGTCTTTAATTCATTGCTCCACCCTCTCAGCAGTGCAAGGCCAAGTATGGGACTGGTTCCTTTCAATTAGTTTCCCCTTGCAGAAACACTATATTTTCTTCTCAGCTGGCAGACTCAGTGTAACCCAACATCACTGGTTTTTACTGCTAGTAAATCCTACCAATGACAAATTGCTAAAAATTTCTTCTATGGAACTTTTGAAAAATGTCACTTGCTAGATGAAAGGTATTAGTTTTAAACACAGGAAGATAACAGGCGTATTAGAGAAAAGACTGATTTTCTCCTGAGAGGGGATGAAATACCTCATTTTATGTAGCATATAGCTTCTAAGAAAAGAAAATGGAGCACAGTGAGGACAAAATGGCTTTGCTACTACTATGGAACATAGGAAACTGTTTTATACTGATTCAGCCATTGTTCTGGCTAACCCAGTAGTGTCAGTACGGAGTATTGCATCTGGGGTCTTCTGCATGCAGAGCATGTACTTTAACACTGAGATACGCTGCCCCCTATCTCACTGGGTGCAAGCTTCACAGTGCCATCTCTTACACTATGTGAAAAGTGGTGGAATTCAATAGCATCCTTTTACTGTTCTAATCTCTGTCGGTCTTCTTGCCCAACCCCCTCAGTGCATGTCCTCATGCCTATTCCAGCATGAAACCAATTTTTGTGTCATTTGTTACATTCAGAACCTGTACACCTAGCTCCACAAATAACCCCCTAAGCTTACCACTAGCAACTGATTACTTGTTGATGGATTTCTCAGACTTATCTCATCATAAAGATGCAGTTCTAAAAATTTGGGAACAGCCATTATGCAAAAATCAATGCACAGATCCATGATAATAGGGATACAGCCTTTGTAGCTTTGCGGTTTTTATTCATTTATAATGTTCCATGAATCAGCATTCTGAATACATCAATATTCCATTAAAAACAATGGAAATTTGTTTTTAAAAATGTTAAACCTACTTTTTAGAAAAAAATCCCAAAGCAGCTTCCAATCTGAAAAGCAGCATTAATGTATTAAAAATCAATACAATATCAATAACTGCTGTGAAGAACAGACTAAAGAGAAATGTCAGAAGCATAGTCCCATCAACAACATTTATTAACAATGTCCCAAGCAAATAATATCTTCATCTCATTTCTATGTTTGAGCAAATTTGGCCTGTGGGCCAGATCAAAGCCATGATGAACCTCAGGACTAGCCATGCACAATGTGCAACAATAATGGAAGAACATTTCATTGCCTATTTTAGTGGAAAATGTATCTTTGCACCACCTCTAAGCATTAATAAGGTTATGAATATAACCACTGTGAGATAGAAATGAGCTTTTCTAATGCATTTGGCTGGCCCACAGTCAGTATTCAGAAAGCTAAGCTAAATATCAAAACCATAGGACTATAATAAGTGGCTAAACATAACAATGAAGGTGGTACCTGATTTTTGGCTAAAACCTTTCACCCAGTGTATAACTTACACAGTTGAGTCATCTTCTTGGAGAAATTAGCACAAAACGCATTCCTAATTTCAAAAACACCTGTTATTGCAAGAGATACAGGAAACAGTCATAATATATCTGAATACAAACAGAATGTGATCTTAGCCTATGCATTTGTCAGAATAATACTTAAACTAAAATATTCATGAATACTGGGATGCTTCCACATCCTAGCAGCAGTCTATTGTTCAGTGTGGACAAAGAATGAACACATATCAAGTTACTAGTGCAAATGAAAACCATCCCATGCAAACATTATTATGACACATGGAAGCTGAGAAGTTAATTCTGAAATGTACTATTGGTTTTACAAAGTACTATATGGTTTAAACAACCAAGTACATAACAAGAGCCGAGAGTGATCTTTGTCTTTACAATCAGACTTCAGGAGCACAGGTGCAATTACACATGTACTCTGAAGGGAATCTGAAGGGTACAGCTTTCTATTTCAGTGCACCTCCTGGTGATTTAGCTGCTGCTTGCCTTGTTTGATTTTAACAGTCATTCTACATCAATAAGCAACCACATGGAAGATTGTCTAGAGGCTGCTGCTATTTTATTCTTAAAATACTGACCATTATCTTTAACAAGGTAAAAAAATGATAGAATAAATTACATTTAAAAAGAAAATTACAAAAGTGCAGCATCTCATTAGGTGATAGAAAATTACCACAGCAAATCTCTTATACATACATTTTTATCCTGCCTTTTTTCCTACAAGGAATTCAAGGTGGCTTACATAACCCTCCTCCTCTCCATTTTATTCTCACGACAGCCCTGTGAGTTAGGTTAGGCAGAGTCAGCGCCCAGCCAAAAGTCAGTAAGCTTATTCACCAAGAGGGGACTAGAACTCCAGACTCGAATCTTCAACCCTGATGGTGGGATAGAGTCCTCCATTCTAGACAGGAGGCTCCTGGAGGGACTCATTCACACACAATGCTAAGCAATGCTGCATAGTAACCACGTGACACGATAATCACCTTGTTTACACAGGCTCTTGGATTCCATGCATGCATGGTTTCCATGCTTTTTTGTCTGCCCTCCAAATGGCAGAACATGTCCCATCAGCCCCCATGGCTCAGAAGCAATCCCAGTGAGCACCGTTCCTGCCTACCTCTTCCTCATTGGCCCATATGCTTCTCTGGGCATGACCAGCTGCCTTTTTTGTTTTCTGCTCCCCTGTGCCACCTGCTCTGTGCCAATGTGAAAGCACACCCACCTCTCCCCACTTCTAATCAAGTGACCATGATTCCCCTGTGTGCAGGACTCGCATATGCTGAAGGGGGCTGCATGTCCCTGCAGCCAGGCACATGGAGTGCATCATCATGTGTACCCATGCTAGAGACAGATGGACTATGTCCTGCTGGGCACTTTCCAGGAAAGTTTTCTGGAAGGCAAAAAACAGTGTCCTGCAGCTGTTGCGGCAGCAGGAGCAGCAAGGTTTGTTGAGAGTCATCAGAAATGTAAACAACAAAATAGGAGTGGAGCGCAGGAGTCAGAGGAGGAAACATGAGTTTCTTGGGATGATTGCACTGATGGAGATGACTGTGCCCGCCTCATGTGTAATGTAGCCTTTACGTGAAGAGATTTCTGGCTCCCTGAGTAGGACAAACATGCAGCCAATTCAAAGCACTGTTCCAGCAAAGGGCAGCAACCAAGCTGAAGTGCCAGGCATGCCCTTCTCTGCTGCTGCTGGAGGTGATGTGATGCAATGCCCTGCTGCTGCCAAGATTCCAAAGCTGCGGCTGGGCATCAGGAAGGCAGTATGTCCATGGGGACAAGAGGGAAAAGCTGTATGAGGCAGCCAATCGGAGCACGGATGCAACTGCCTCAGCAGTTGCTGGGCAGAACAGGACAGGGAAATATGCATGCTGAAGCATCCACTACAGTTGCAGTTACTTTTGCTGCAAATTCGATGGTGGATATGCAGAAAATGCATGGAAGCAGAGTTCACACATAGCAAGCTATGGTGAAGTGTGGCTACCTTACAACAGACCATTGTTAATCTGTGTGCTTTCATGGAAACCAAACACACTGTGCTTCACCATAGATGCTGGGTTAACACATAATAACAAGCCATGGCACCTACTGCGTGGGGTAGGCAGTTCTGTCTTTCAAGAGAGAGAAACAGCTGAAAGGGCTGCTGTGATTGCTCACCAACATCTGCCTGCCTCTGCTAATAGCAAGACTGGCCCTGACTCTGCTCTCCCAGTGCTGCAGCTCACACCAGTACATTTAAAAAAGAAAAAGGCAGCAAGCAAATGACATCCCAACTGCATGGCTCCTTCTTTCCTCTCATACGAAAGCTGTATCTTATGTATTCAGCAGTAAGTCTGCTGCTTTCTTAAGAGAGCCAAAACAAACCAACCACCAAACCAGCCCAACCCCACCCAAAAAACCAAAACCGAACACGCTTCTAGAAGTGATTGAGTAAAATTCATAGTAGCTAGAGAAACTGGGAATAAGACAAAGCAGACCCTGTATGAAGCGTGTTAAATTCTACCCAATCCCTATATATTTACCTGGCTCTAAGTCCTACTCATTTCATTAGAATTTAACCTAGAGACCTAAATAGACTAATCTGGGACTGAGTCATGCATAAGATAGCACTGTAACTTTGAAGCAGGTGTGAAAATAATTGCAGCCCGATCTCTGCTTATTTGGAAGGACGTCCCACAGGGGAGAAAGTGTGGCACAGCAGAGTGTTGGTCTGGGACTCGGGAGATTCGCGTTCTAGCCGTCAGTCGCGCAGCTCACTGGATGACTTTTGGTTGGGCACATACAGCCTAACCTACCTCACAGGCTGGTTGTGAAGATAAAATGGAGTGTAGAATCTTGTAAGGCAGCTCGGGTTCCTTGTAAGAGAGAGCTGTTGTGTAAATGTAATATAATTATACTGACTATTCATAAGAACATTACTTGGAGTAAGCTCTGTTAAACCTATTGCGGCACACCGCCGAGAAGCAAGGTCGGGGTCACCCGCGATATGAGTCCACTGCACCGCTTTTCCTTAATTCCTAAGCAATTCCTTCCTGCGGCAAACCATCCTACTCTCTGCACACCACCGTAGGGACCTTATTCAACCGCCGGAGACAAGCTCCGGAGAGCCGCCAGGCAGCCGCAGTTCCCACTAAGCCGGCTCTGATGAGCTGAGCATGCTCAGTACCAACGAGGAAATCAGTCGGTTACGCCCGCTTGCTGAGAGGGGAGAAAAATTCCCAGCCAAAGGACGGCTGCGCGAGTTAACGTCACCTGAGAGCCGGAAGTGAAACTCAAAATTTGCCTCGACTTCTGAACGGAAATAAAGGAAAGGGCGGGACAAATCGTAACAAAACAGTGAAGCGAGAAGCGGCGGTGCGTCTCCCGGTAACAAGTCTTTGCTCCGCCCCTTTCCTCTCCCCCCTCCTCTACCGGGAAGGGAGGCAGCAGGTACGTGAAGCCGCTGCGTCGAGCTTTTGCGTATGTTCACGGCGGTAACCGCTGCCGCCTGTTCTCCTCCTGCTCTGAGGGGAATGACAAGAGTAGAGGCTCAGCCGCCCCTCCCCGCCTCAAGTGTGCGTGTATGAGTGCGAAATGACGGGCAGCGAAGGAGGAGAAGAAGCCTCCTGGTTCTTCTCCCCCTCCGCCCGCGGGGGCTACTCCTGCTCTGGGCTGCGTGCATGGCCCCGAGTTGCGCTAGGAAGGAAGGAGCGCTTTGTGACAGAAGAGGCGGGTGCCCACGCAGCCCCCCGGCACCGTCGTCGCGCCGCAGCCTTTCTCGGTGTGGGTGTGCTTGTCGGGGAGAGCGACTGCGTTGGAGGCAATCGCGACGCTCTCTGTGTTCTTCCGCCTGCCTGACGAAACTCGGAAGCCCAGGCTGGGGCTGTCATAAGTCGCGGGGACCCACCCGCGCGCGCACTCGCGCCGCCCTGTTTTCCAGCGTCTCCCCTTGCTCGTCTGACAAAACCCCGGTGCCTCTGGGGCTGTGTTTGACGCTCAGATTTTTGAAAGAGGGGCGCCAAGGTTGGCCTGAACGGAAGTGGGGAGACGAAGTGACAGGAGCAGAGTCGCCTGGCGCTGACATTAGGCAATGGCACTCTTTAACTGCCCTTCTTGGTATTTGGCTTTTCTCTGTTTCTGGTTGAGTAGAGTGCCTTAAAAGAATGTGGAAAGTAATTCCAAAATCTTGCTGCTGCGGGGTGCTGTGTAGTTACAGGACTCCTCAGCAGCTGGATTTTCCACAAATTCTCTGTGGTGGTAATTCTTTCATTGACATTTACTAGATATTGTGTCACCTAGCTTACTAGACAAATGGTAATAAGGAGAAATAAGTTGCCAGACTATTTCTTAACACCTATATTAGGACTATAGGACACCTCTGCCAGTCTAGTTGCCCTCTGTATGTTTTGGACTATGATCCTTACTTTGATCATCCCAAATCAGCACAGTCTTTGGTTTGCTGGCAGGGAGTGAGAGTTCTAATCCAGCACATATGGAAAGGTATCAGCTTGGTGGAGGTCACCATAGGAACTCTAATTTTTATTTGTGCTATGAGGAGTGAAGAAAAACTAATTTTGGGGAGAGGAGTATATCTGCAAAAGGAGAAATGACTGTGATCAAGTATAAATGGAAAATGCGAAAATAAGAAAAATAGAATATTATGATATCCAGAACTATAGCTCTTTCTGAGAAAGAAAGGTTGGTGTGAACCCATCACTATTCATACCATCAATACTCAATAAATAATTCGGAATATAAGTATTACTTGGAAATTTATTCAAGACTCTTGAATACAGAAAGTTGTCTTATTCCAAGTCAGGCCATCAAGTGCAACATCATCTATACTGACTGACCAGACTGCAGACAGAAGTTTATCTTTCCTATGAATCTGGAACTTTTTGCATGTCAAGCACACATTGTACCACTGAGCTACTGCATTCATTAAGAAGGTGCTGACCTCTTTTTTTCTTAACTATGTTCTGGCTATGATTGGAAAATATTTAACACTAGAGTTCTGGGTAGTTCTCCATCATTTGCATAGCATTTTTTCTTGACATGAATTAAAACTGTCTTTTGGGATAAAGTAAAATGTGTATGTTTTGAGGAATCTGGTCTCCCTTTCTCTCCCATTGTTCCCACTTGTTAGCCACTTTCTCTGACCTCTCTGGGTAGCCAGATGGAGTCCCCTTAGTATAGTTGCACGATCCTTGTCTTGTGACTTCCTCCTGCCATTGAAAAACTAAATCCAGATTCAGTTTTATTTAGCATTTGCTCCCTGCTTGTGGAGCTAACTGATTTCTTTGCTTCTTTTAACCAATATAAACCAATAATGATGAGTAAATGCTCCAGTTCTTCACCGCCCCCCCCCCAGAAAAAAGCTTTATCATATTTCTTCCATTCCTGAAGTCCATTACAATGATCCCTATATTGTAGCTTTAGGTCTGCAGCTGGATACTTCAGTTGGAGATGTTGATTACCCCACACCATCTCCAAAAATGTTTTGAGGATAAGCATGCTTTGAGGATTATATATTTTTTAATGTATAGCCTACTTCCATAAAGATAACTTTTTTGGTTTCCAGGTAAGAATTTTTTCTTGCATGCTCTAGGATTCTGTGGAATGGAGCATACTCATAGTTGCAGAGTTGCTGTCATTTTTGTTTGCTGTTTAACATCACATTCTGAAAAGCACAAACATCTTCAAGAGTGTGTGCATGTGCATGCAAAATTGTGAAAAAAAAAACATTGGCCCCTCCTTTTGGAATTATTAAGTGGTCCTATTTTAATGTAGTGCCAAAATATAAATAATTGTAGTGACTTTCATATGTCTAGAGTATGATTCACAGTTTTAAAGTAATTCAGAGTTTAAATATTTGGATCTAAGATACAAGGTACAAGTTAGAGGTAGCTGGCAGCCCTTGGGTCAGATATTGCCCATGTTGGCCATAAGGTAACACATTATTTTATTGGTGACATTATGTTTTGCCACTTTGACAAATAGCCTCAAGGCAATTTACATTAAAAACATGTAGCATATCATAAATCAAAAATATAAAACCAAGGAAAGGGAAGCATATGTGGCTGACAGACCACCTTCCCTTATATATACCTAAGTGACCTTTAAGATTGTCAGAATAGACAAGGTCATTGTGAAATCAACAATTTTTTTCCCCATGTAATAACTTGACAGTGGGCCTTAGTAATGGCACCCACACTTTGGAAAAGACTCTTTTGTGTGGTTTGGGAGTCAGATAATATGGTATCTTTCAAACCCCTCCCGGAAATGCCCCTTTTAAACCAAGACTTTCCTTGGCTATGTACTGTATTGTTTTTTAATTGTATTTTAAATGTAATTAAATATTTATAAAGTACTGAATGATTTTATAATACTTAGCTGAATCTAATACTACAAATTAAATAACAAAAAATATATTGGACTGGGCTTGCTTAGAGGGAAGCTTTGTTTCAAAGTCTTCATTATTCCTAACAACATAGCAAAACACTTCTGTAGTATTCAGAACACAGCTTGGTAACACAAGTAAAGGAAGCACTTGGGATACTGATGACAGTAATACTGGATTAGACCCAGGCTACTTGAAAGACTGCCACTTCCTACTGAAGTCTGCCTGGATCTTAAGATCTTCAGGATAGGCCTTTCTTTCAGTACTGTTCCATCAGAAGCACACTTGATGAAGACACAAGAGAGGGCCTACTCAGTGGTCTCTTCCAGGGTTTGGAAAAGCCTTCCAGGCCTCTGAGAGAGGCTAGATTGGCTGTCCCTCTGCTGATATTTCACTAACAAGCCAAGACAATTTATTTAAGCAGGCCTTTGACGTGTAAGCCAATCTTCTCAGTGCTGCTTTTATTCTTGATGCATTTTTAGTATATTCATTGCATGATGTTTTTACTCAAAATTTTTGTTTTTCTTTACTTTTGCTAGCCATGTTGAGTGCCATTTCCTTGGTAGAAAGCTGAGCAATACTTCAAATAAGCACAAACATAGCAAACACTCAGATATCAACCAATAGACTGCAAAATAAAGCTAGACGTTTTGGATCTAAAGCATGCCTGTATATAAGTGTGCATTGGCAATGAAAGCATGTTTAGTGTTTTTGAGTAGAGGGAGAAACAATGTCTTTGCATGCAAAAGCAGTCTGGGGAACTATGCATGATTTGGTGGTTGTGTAGTTCCCTGAAAATAGAGTATCCATGGCTTTTTGTTCTGTGGCATTGGCACGGGTGTACTCAAGCCAGTGTGTTTTGGGGCATGTGTAGCGTGCATGGTTCTTGTTTGGTTTTTCTTTAGCATCTGCCCTTGTAACGTTGCCCTTGAAGTAGGGATAGCAAAGTTTGAGTAGCAAGATCCTAACTTTGAGAGGTTCACAAATTTTACTGTGCAGTTACTGAAACGTTCAGCTGCTACAAGCCCATTTATGATGAGGAAAAAATAGCTGTACAAACAACCCTTGATACCTACTTTGAGAAAGTGACTTCAGTGGAATCACTCCCCTTTCAGCAGCACACTCAAACCTGGAATCTCCAGCACCAGGTCCATCTTCATCAAAATAAGTTGATGTTAGGCTTAATGTCACCTCAAGAATGCTCCAAACTGTTTTAAGAACTGCTTTTTTAAGTTTTTTACAAGACTTATTTACCTGCACACATACATACATATTCTCTTTATCTTCAGTACTTGTAGTTACTTTATTATTACTGTATTGTTATCATTATTACAATATTGTATTGTGTTTAAAATGTTAGTGAACATAGAACAGTGTTTTATATGCACAGAAAGGTAAAATATATACATATACTAAGACAAACATTTGACTTAACCACATGATTCCACTTACATACAAATTCAACTTAAGGTCATCCTCAGGAACACAACACATTCTTAACCCGAGAACTACTTGTAGCTGAAGAAAGAAAAAGTATGTACAGAATAAGGAAGCATATATAACTACAGAAATATATACAATCAGAAATGTTGAAGATTTACTGTGCAAAGCCAGGGGCTGACATAGGTCATCATGTCCTACAGTGCTGTGTACATGGTTTTCATGCATAACTGTCTAGCTAGAATGAGTTTCTGTTTCACCTATAGCTCACTACAAGTTTGTGGCATGAATTCAAGAGTTTGTGGGAATAGAGATTCAGAGAAGCAGCACCATTTTGGAGATATGAGAAAGTGGTAAAGGATGAGAGGAATTAAGTGTGGGGAAAGCAGTGGTGATTCATGTAGGATATTGTCATCCTTATAAGTGAAGATGATTCTTGAGTGGGAAGTAAAATCAAAACATATTAAAGACTGGATCAAGACGTTAAAAAGAAGAGTAAGTTCCATGAGCTAGGAACTGATGTGGGAAGCTAAATTGAATTCTGGGGTTAGTTGCAGAGCATCATACACATCCCCAGTAGGAAAATCTGGGTACTTTAAACATAGATGTCCCAGATTGAGGTACCATCTATTCTAATGCCATGTGAAGTTGCTTGTATGAGTTCAGATGAGTGTGGCCACACCCACTGAAAATCATTTGCTCCCTTATCCAATTGCTAAGTAGATTGGCTTTCTGATTTCCTTTGCTAAGGATCAGACTTTTTTTTGCATGGGCTTTTTAGTTAGAGAAGCGCCACTTACAGCAAAACCGACCTGACCTAATCCATGTTGCTCTTCTGATCCATCTTTGCCTACCCCACCTTCTTCCCACAGAAGAGTGAAAGGGATTCAGACACTTTGAGCTCCCCCACAGTCTCTTTTCCCTACACGGCCAAGTCCTAATTGTTTGGCCACCCTGCTTCTTGCTCCAGTTAAGACATCCCTGGTACTATCTCTTATTTCTGATAAGAAATATTGATGGGGAATTTTTTTCAGGAGGTGCAGCTTGGAGCATAAGTTCTGCCCACCCCCCAAAACCCTAAGAGACTGCATATGGGCTGGAATGGACTAGGAATTCTCCCCAGACATAGAGGTCTAAGTGCATGCCTTTTTGGTATAATCTCTTGACTGCAGTTATATAGGAGAAGTTAAAGTTTGGTGGGGTGAAAAGAAGTCTGTAAAAAAAAATTGTAGAACTTGCTTGCTGTGCTTCAGCAGAGTCCGGATTTTCTCATTTGCGTTAGTAAGGTCAGCTGCAATGAGAAATGCTAGTATGACAGAGATCTTTATGCCCTTCCATCTTCCTCTTTAAACTTGCATTTGAAGTAAGCTTCAGATAGGCATATAAGACTAGAAAGGGGAAAAACAAAGAGCGGACATTGCAAGTGTTTGCTATATTTTAAAGCATGTCACCTTCAGGTTGCATATCCTTTTTTTGCTAAGGAGGTGGATCATAAGGTATCCTTGTCACTGCAGAACTACTAAGTAAGATTAGAAGATGGGCATGTTTTTATTGAGGCAGACAATACCACTGAGGTAGCTCAGAAGAGTTGGGTCATATGCCTGATATGCTTTCTGTATCAATGCCTATTATGCAACTTTTTGGGGGGGAAGTGGTTAAAAGTTGTTACTTTTATTGTGATTAGTTTCATGCTACATTCTGACATGGAATATGCCAATTTTGAGTTTTCTTTACTTTTTTCAGCTCATTCCATCAAGACTGATGCATGTTTCTTCCATTACTTTAATCTGGCTGAGAACCTGGATAACTATGGCGCAGCTCCAACAGAGTGGTCCTGATGAAAAAGAGAAGACTACAGCATTAAAGGGTACAAATTAATTTGGAACTTCTCCTCCATAGGCACTCCATAGACTGTGTTCTGATGAACTATAATTTTGTGGTTAGTAAAACAGGTGAGCAAGTGCAACTGTGTACCACCCACATTTTTGGCTGCTATACCTTTCTTACCCCTATCTATAATCTAGGATTTTTCTTTTCATCTACTAGAAAAGGAAACTAACTGCACACAGTACTTTTGCTGTTAACTTGTAATAGTGTTCTGAAGGGGAAGCCTCTTTTTTCCTCCCAAAGCCTGAATCATAAAAATTGGAAACTTGGGGAAAAATTAAAATGAAGCTTATGCAGTATTTTCTCTTTCAGTATTATGGATAAAATATTTATTTAAGCAAGCAGTGCTCTTAGAATTGATGCAAGATACTTCAAAGTGTTGCAGGATGCAGACTCTTTAGATACTTGGATTGACAAAACATTATACAGAAGTAATAAGCCATGGGGGAAAGACAGAAAAAGGAATCTCTGGCTTTGTTTAGAGGAGCTCTCTTTGCAAAGAACCCAGAGAACTATCTATCTGGGCACCTTGTAAAGCTGTTTGTGTGTGATCCTTGAACCCTAGGTTCTTATGGGAATTTTTTTCCCAGGAATAATTCAGTAAGTAGGATCTGGCTGTGATTTAGGATTCTGGTCATGTATCTTTCATGCAAAATTTGTGTAGATATTGTATAGCATTCCAGTGAAATGATTGTGAAAGTTCTAATACAGTGGAGTATTTAAGAAACAATGTTTGGGAACAGACTAAAACATGCTGGAATAGTAGTCTGGCAGAAAAATGGGATTGCTGCCTTTATATATTGTGCTTGTTTTCATCTGTGTGTTTTCACAGCTGTTAGTATAACATAATGAATAGTGTGGATAGATTTGCTGAAATTTGGAGTTTCTTGGATCTAAATTTCTGTTCAGCTCACTGGGTAGTCTTAGCCATGCCTCTGCTTCTAACCTGTTTGGCAGAAGGGGCTGTGAAGGTAACATGGAATAATTGACTGTTTACCACCCTGAATGCCTTGAATGAAGGGAGTAATGCAAATGTGACAAAAACTAACCTGTCCTTTGGAAACTACTGTGTTCATGCAGCAGCATTCAGGGTTCTTTTCCCATGCTTTGACAGGATAACAAAATCCTTATATCTCCCTGTGTCTGTGTGGCTTTCTTAACACATTCTCTTGTCCTTTTCCAATAAACCAAGATGGCTACCTGTTATCTGTACAGGTGATGGAGAAAATGTCTAATTACTAGGCTGCAGCATACTGAATTTGTATAATTATTGCTTGAACTTTTTTCTCTTGGCAAAGAATGTATTTGATGCCATTTATGCATACTTGGGATGTGGTGGTGCTCTGGCTCGTTTGAGCTTGCTGGACTGCTTGCTTGCTTTTGATCCAGTTATTGGAAGAGGGACTAGTTTATTCTCTGAAGACTTCCTCTCTAAGATGGGCCATAATTTGCACATTGTTTTAACATGCACAAGAAGCTTCTGGCAGTCATGGTATGTATGCAAATTGAAAGCTGGCAGCTACTAAGCTCTTGTGCAATTTGCACAATTTGTGTTACAACTGTATAGCTTTTGGCTATACAGTTATAGATTGCAACATGTTCATCAAGAAAACCAAAAATGCTTAATGGATAAGTCATTATTAGTATTATTGAGCTGTGGCTGACTGCTACCAAGCACTCAGTAGGACTTGTATATCTTGGGGCAGGTTAATTCCTGAAGGGCATTGAGAATATATTGTGCATTTGGAGAACTTGAAATGTTTCTTCTTGTATTGGAGATAAATAGCTTTTTGATTGCTCTATACTTATTGCTTTATATCATATGTAGTACCTTTTAAAATGAATGCAAGACTATCTACAAATACACTGAGAACCAATAACTTTGCATTGTAAGACTGAATCTGTTATCTGTTTGACTTGCCAAATTCCATAAACATTTATACTTCCCCTACAGTTCTTCTTCATGGAGCTTACCATTGTTCAAGTGCCACACCAAAACAAACAAAAAATTTCAGTGCCCAATTTTTGTAGTTCCCGCAGGAGGAGTGATTGGGATGACAAGCAGCACCTCTTATGCCTCCCTTCTTTCTTCTCCTCTTCTCTCATCATCTTTCTGCTCTTCCCACCATCTTCAGAACTCACTTGTCTTTTTTATTCCTGGCCTAGGCCAACGTAACATTAGACTCTGGGGAACTCTTCATCTAGAAAAGCTACACCTGCCCTCCAGTTTATACGAATTCCAGTTCATCAGAGGGTAGATAGATTTGGAAGTATTCCTTCCACTAGACAGGGCTTGGTCCATTATTATTGTAGCAAAAGAACTGTTCAAAGACAATTATGCTATGGGGCTAAACATCCAGCTTCTGGAATGTATGGTTACAATGACACCAGTTGTGCAGTATGAGGGTATGGTACTATTGGTTTATTTGGGGTTTTGATCTCATAGAAGATGTGTGAAGTACTCACCTTGAGATTCATTATCTGGTGAAAGACATGCTGAGTTGTGGACCAACTTGCTGTACTGTATCAGTTTCTGGGATCTTCATCTCTTATGTGGTGTGATTTTTGGGATGTGGTATGCACTTTTGGCTCTTGGAAGTGCAAAGGCAGTGGCAAGCTACAAAAGCTATGAGATGTACCAGTCTGCTAGAGCTATCAACAAGGCACTTGGCATGTTTGAATTGTACTTAGTTCACTGACTTTTTCAGATGATCTTGGACAATTCAGCAACTGTACTGACCTGACCTAGCAGGGAGTAATTCTTATTTCTCCTCCTTGTCAGTCTAACCCTTTACATTTTCCACTGTGTCTACAGCCAGCACTGATTATGTTCCTGGAGATCAGCTCAGTCAGATGTTCCTGGCTTCCTATGAGTGGATGGGGGATGCTTAGGCAGATCTAACAATTGTTTTATTTGCACAGAAAAAGAATGTCATTTGCCCAGTGGAGGAGGTCTAGTTCTGAGAACTATAGGGACTGTGGGAAGGTTCCCTGTTCTGCCTGTTACATGGGAAAGTTCCCTGTTCTGTCAATTCTTCCTATCAAAATTTTGGCAAAGGTTGGTAAACTGTATAGTGGCCAAGGCAACTCTGTTTCTGCCCCCTTCTCCATCTAGCACAGAGCAACTATGCTTGAGTGCAAGGGATCCCAAATCTACTCATTTAGGAATGAGGGAAATGACACCTGGATAATGACATCTGACTGCATGCAGGTCAGTGCCAACCCCTCCATCCCAGCTGTAGTACAAAAGATGCTTGATGTCACTCATAAACCTTCCACAAGACTCTTTATATGCAGAAGTGCCTAGTTTGCTTTACTTTCCCCACAGCTGCTCATTTTGATGTTATTAGATTGTATGAATCAATTTTTGCATTTATTCCTTTCTCTGTTTGAAAAAGGGTATATTTTGCAGTCACCTTGGCCTTGCATATTAATGTCAAAGGTTTTTTTAGGATTCTCTAATCCACTGGCTCACCAGTTAGTTCTTAGAATCCAGCATCTTATACCTCCAAACTGACATATGTCAGTGAGCTGGGGTTTGTCCATTGTATTGTATGCTTTAACAAGTATACCTTTGGAACCACTTTGAATGTCCTTGTCTTCAAAACAGCATGTCTAGTAGTCATTACTTCAGTTAGGCGTATCAGAGAATTGTGGGAAATGCATATAGCTCTGACTTACCTTACCCTTCAATAGAATAATGTGGTTGTTCTTGCATATATCAGTTGGTATTTTAGTTTCACCTCAAATTTGAATGTGCTATTTCCTCCCTTCTTTTCCTCACTTACTATTTTGCTTGCATTGATATTTCACACCCTTGATGTTTGTCTGGCCCTAGCTTTTTATAAGTCATGGACTGAGTCTTTCATGTATTTATTTATTCCAAATCTATACTTTCCCATAACCTAAAGGTTCTCTGGGCAGCTTACAAATGCTAAAACAGCATAAAAAATACATATAAAACAATAAAATAATTGATAATCTGATAAAATAGATAAAACAATAACATAACATAATAAAATATACCCATATACACCAAAGAGCACAACCAATAAATTAGTCAAAATTAAATTAAATAATCCATAGCAAGAAATAAAAGTATTAAATTAAATTTAATTAATTAACAAAAAACTTGTTTAAAGTTAGTCTCAATGTATGTTATAGTTGCCTTCTTCACCTCATGGATTTTCTAGGCAATATGATTCATATATGAGCTAACTGGTCTCAAACCATCTGCCTTAATTTGATCTCACTCAGATCGTGTGTTGCTGTTCCCTGTAAGGCTGCAACTTGTTGAAACCTTCAGTGTTCATTCAGCACTGCTGGTTTTGAGAAATTTATGGATAATGATAAGAGCTGCATTAAAGGGATAGTGTCAACTATAAGATACTTTTGGACTCGGATAAGAGCAAAAGTAGTTGTCTAAAGCAATGGTGGGAGTTAAACTTTTCTACTTCTATTGATGACACAGCTTGGATGGATATCTGGGGGAGATCACCATATAAAACTATATCTGCTAATACCAGAGAAACCTCTCTAATGATAATACATGGTTGGTATCTGACTCTTAGAAAACTGGCATTCATTAAGTCTGGTCCCTTCCCTATGTGCTGGAAAGGATGCCAATTGGTTGGAACCTACCAGCACATGTGATGGCAATGTAATGAGATTCATAAATTCTGGACTTTAGTGTTCACTGAGATTAATCAGATTGTAAAAGTAAAACTACCTCTTGACTCTGAATTGGCTCTATTGAATGTATTAGTTGAAAATAATATATATATGAAACATAAGGAGCTAATTTCACATATTTTATTTGTTGCTAGAAAAGTAATAGGGCCACAATGGAAGAACTGTAAACATGCAGATTGAATAGATTGTATAACTTGATATGGAAGACAGCAATAATGGAAAATTGTCACACAAACTGGAAGTTATGAGAGGCCAGCAGATGTTTGATTCTTTTGAGACTGCTTGGGTGGGTACCATTTATTGAATATACTAACATAATTGAATATGGGAGGATGGTACCAGCAAGCTATAAATCATTATGGTTGTTGTAACAGTTTCTGTATAACCAGCATGCATCGTGAAGGACTGTATGTAACGTGATCTGGGGTGGGAGGGGAAAGGAATATAGATAATGTTAAATGTGTGTTTCCAAATATTTGTTTTTGTTTCTTTAATTTTTGATTAAAGGAAACTTTTTAAAAATATCTGTGCAGTCCACCCATTGTGTCCGCTTTAATGTCAATGGCTATCTGAAGGTTGATACCAATGGTTTCTCTCAGTTCAGAGACTATAGCGATTGGTCTCAAGTCACTGAAGGAACTGGCAGGAACTTGCTGGGAACATGTGCACTGAAATGATGGGGCAGGATTCCCTGAAATGGGGCTTTGCATAGACGCAGAGCCCATTTATGTGATGCACAGTTGACAGAACTACAAGGAAGCAACTGCCTTTTAAAAATCAAAATGTATGGTTACCTTTTATATTTATACTATGCTTCAGAATTCTAAAAAGGGTTGTTTGTTTTTTGGAGGGGGTGGGAGGAATCTCTTCTGCTTGTGAAATTTTGTTACATACTGGCTGAATGCGCAGCTATAATATGGGAACTTGAAGTATTTTGAAGATTCCTTTTAGATCTCAAAATCTTCAAAACATTCACAGATGATGGTTTGAAATATCACACTGCAGTGTAAAATATACTGAACTTGTTACTATATTTAATTCAAAAGGATTTGGTTTGGTTTGGATCCTCTGCTAGCCCTCATATTGCTTGATCACTTCCTCAGTGGTAAACTCAAATGGTAACTGCTGGCAGAAATGGAGGCATACCAGAACACTCGGGAAAAGGAAGGAAATAGGAACAAGTTTGGGGAACTCCAATATATGTAGAAGTGCAAATAAACTTTGAAAATGCTTAACAGGGTTATTCTCCCCAAAACAGTCCTCAGGACTGAGTGTGTCCAGAAACCTCGGTATGTTGAATGTCTTTTCAAAATGAAGCCTGGCCAAGGCAAGTGGGGTAACCTGCTTCATTCCTTTCCAATTTCTAGTTTCTTGGAGGAGCGTGTGGCTGGTTGGAACCTTGAAAGGGGGGTATGCTTGTTTAAGGATAGTTATATATTGCAACATTTAAAATTATTTTATTGTAAAATTTCAACAAAGTAATACAGAGGGGGGAAGTAACTAAACGCACATTAATAAATTAAATTCTGTAAATGCATATTGTGTGTGCATGGAATACAGCTTTCTAAGACTTAGACAAATATGTCAACAAAACCAGATCAAGTATCCATCCATACACATGTAGGTGCGCGCACACATACACATATTTATCTATTTGCATGTGGCATCTATATCTCACCTATTCAGTTGTAGAAAGTTTCATTACATCTTCAGTCTATTGCATTATATAAGGTGTGCATTTATCCTTCCAATGTTGTAATATCAGTCTTTTATCTTTCAAAAGGACATGGAGAATCCATTCACGCTGACTATCTGCTAGCTTCCAGGAAGTGGGTGTATAATTTAAGAACACAGTACATATGTAAATATTAAAATGTATTCTAGTACTAAGTTTATTCATATAACTTCCTCCACAAAAAAGGCAACTACTGGGCATTGCCAAAAACATACTAAAAGAATCATTAGCTGTGTTATATCTCCAACACTTAGTCAGAGTAGACAAACTCTCATTTAGGATATGTTTTGATGTCCAGTAGACATGGAAGTAGAGTTTTCACTGGAAAAGACATAACCAGAAATCCACAGGTACTTCAGATAAAGTCATTAAAGCGGTGAACCACTGGTTAGGCAAAATTGGGACAGTTGAGTTTCCTGTTGCATTCCAGCTTAAAATCCAATGTATCATATTTTTTCACTGATTTATAAACTAGAGTTGGGACAAACCCTTTTTGAATCCATCCCTCCAACATCCATGAACTTTCTTTCATGCTTGTCCTGGTCCTGCAAAGTGAGCTGAAGTAGGAGGAAGTCCACAAATGCTTGCAGACCTCCAATTGCACAGCTGGTAATCTGCCTTGTCAGGTGCAGCTGCCTATAGAGTGGCTACAGAATGTGGAAGAGAAGCACTGCAAGTGGGTGTGCCAGGTGACTTTCCTGACAGCTGGACCTCCTGTGCCAAATGCAGCTGGCAGAAGCAACACCAGGTGTGGAAGAGGAATGCTACTGTACAGTCCATAGGACTTGATTGCCGGGAAGTACCCTGCAAATGCTAAGAGCACTTGGCAGTTTTTATCAGTGACCAGGACTGAAAAACTCTTTCCACACAAATATGTGGTAGAAAATACAAGTAACCATGTAATAGTTCTGTAACTTGGAAACAGATATTCTTTTTCCAGGAATATGCAAAATTGTGACAATGATTGCATTTTATGTTTGGACACCGAAGTGACATTAAAGCTCTTTCCCATGTCCTGCTCAGATGAGTTCAGTTCCCCTGGTGATGGCAGCAGTGCTGAACAAGCAGGAAGAGCGGGTTCTAATAGTCATACAAATGACCAGAATTATTAACCAACTGCATCAGATCAGGACTGATGACTAGAGTTTCAAGTTAAACAATACAAGATAATCAGCATAAATAAAGAATAGTTTTAAAGTTGAACAATCATGCATAAATCTATGAGTATTATATCCTGTCCAATAGCATATGCCAGGGGTTCCAAAGGTAAATATCAATGGAGAAAATGGACAACCCTGTGTGGTACATCTCCCAAGTGAAAAGAAAACTGAGGAGAGACCTTTGGGGTTGAATAGACAATTCTGATCCATACTATAAATGTATGTGAAAATAAGTTTCTCATTTCTTTGGGTTCTTTTCAGCATCCAAAGAAGTTAGCCAGGTCTGTTCTATTAGTAATGAAAGCTATCAAATCAACAAATAATCTAAAAGTATTGATCCTGAGTTTCTGTTTAATAAGTCCAACCGATCTGTTCAAACCATTGTTATAACTGTTGCAATGCTTCTGTAAGAATTGCAGTTATTTTAATAACTATGTTAATCAAATAGTTTGATAGTAACCTAAGTGTGATCCTTTCACAGTCTACAAATCATTATAACAGCATATAATAAAATATGTTTAAAAAGATTAAGCTTTGTAACTAACAGGTTGGAAAGTATATTATTTTGGAAGCCTATGTGGACCAGGTGACTTTCCAGTATTCATATTTGTAATTGCTTTTATAATTTCTTAAATGGTTAAAGAAGCTGCAAGGAACAATCTTTGTGAGGAATTGTAACATGGAACGTAAACATGGCAGGCAAGGAAAGCATCATGTGTCCTGCGCTGATGTTTCACTGCTCACACTATATACAAACCAGAATAAAACTTTCAAAATTGTGAGGCATTGTGATATAACTGAAATAACATTTCATTGCTTTTGCTGTTGAAGACCCTGTGCCAGAATCTTACTGGGACAGTCACTATTTCCCACTCTGCTAGTTAACCTGGCAGGTTGGTCTTGCTTATTATGCGCAGATGATTTCCTGTGTAAATAGAATGTATTTATTCCTCTGGTTAATTTAATAATTATTAAAAATAATTGTCCATATTGACCTCAAAGAAGCTGTTCATAAAAGGTTATTTGCATATATAAAATTTGTATGCTTCTGAAGATGTGTTTCTGTTAATTTAAGGTCTACAAAAAGACAATCCTGTCCACCTTTTTCCCCCCAGATTTGTTGTCTAGAATAGACTTGGATGAACTGATGAAAAAAGATGAGCCACCTCTTGAGTTTCCTGATACTCTTGAAGGATTTGAATATGCTTTTAATGAAAGTAAGTAATGCATTTGATAAAAAGTCAGTTAGAAGCAATAAAATGTTAATATTTTTTCCAGAGCTTGTGTTCATAGCTTGGTACATAAAACTAATATACTGGAATAGTCAAGTGAATTCAGTTCTCATCAGATATGCACAAATAAACATTTTTATGTTGATGCCATTTGTTTTTTTGGTCATTCTAAAAACAGAAAGGCACTGAAAAAGAATGGTAGCAATCCCTCACTGAAAAACCTCAGTCAATGTCTGGTAATAGAATAGTATTTATTATTATTAATTATTATTAAAATCTTTTGTATGCTGTCCTATTATACAAGGTCGCAGGACGGCTTCCAATATTTAAAAAGACAAGTAAAACAACAATTTCAATAAATAATAACACAGAGCAAAACAATAAATCACAAAACAAACAGAGCGACTGAACTTTTTATTTAAGCAGCATTTTAAATGTTAATATTATTGAATTTTATTTGGCCAGGGCGGCTTATTTTATTCTACTGTATATGTTTTAATTGTTATTGTTTTAATTTATTGTGTATTTTATTCAATGTTGTGAGCCGCCCCGGGGCTTCGGCAAGGGGCGGCATAGAAATGTTTTAATAAATAAATAAATAAAAACTTAAAAACTATTAAAGTTTAAAATACTGTTTAAATAAAAAGGTTTTGGCCTGGCACCCAAAAGAGTATAAACTTGGTGCCAGGCGTACCTCTCTGGGGAGTACATTCCAGAGTCTGGGTGCCACAGCAGAGAAGGCCCTACTCTGATGACCTTTTTACCTCTCTTAGAGAAGGTTCCTGGAGTAGGGCTTCTCCCATAGATCTTAAGGGGCGTGAGGGCATATAAGGAAGGAGACGTTTCTTCAGGTATTCTGGTCCTAATCCGTTTAGGGCTTTATAGATCAAAACCGGCACCTTGAATTGGGCTCGGACTTCAACTGGAAGCCAGTGGAGCTGGTAGAGGACCGGCGTTATGTGAGAATAATGGCCAGTCCCTGTCAGCATCCTGGCAGCTCTGTTCTGCCCCAGTTGCAGTATCTGGACTGTTTTCAAGGGCAGCCCCACATAGAGCGTGTTGCAGTAATCCAAGTGGGAAGTTATCAGAGTATGTATCACTGTTTCTAGGGAGTGCTCATCCGGGTAAGGATGCAGCTGATGGATCAGTCAAAGTTGTAGGAAAGCACTCCTTGCCACTGCCGCCACCTGGAACTCTAGTGACAGCTCTGGGTCTGCGGACCCTGTCCTTTAGAGGGAGTGCTACCCCGTCAAAATCACCTACCTGGAGACCTGCACCGTCCACCAAGAGGACTTCTGTCTTACCTGGATTGAGGCTCAGTTTATTGGCCCTCATCCAGCCCATTACCTTGGCCCAGCACCGGTTCAGTACAGTCACCGCCTCACCTGGAGCAGATGTAAATGAGAGGTAGAGCCGGGTGTCATCGGCATACTGATGACTCCACAGCCCAAACCTCCTGATGACCTCTCCCAGCAGTTTCATGTAGATGTTAAATAGCATAGGGGACAAAATAGAGCCCAGTGGAACTCCATGGCAAAGCTGCCATGGCACAGAGCTATAGTCCCCAACACCACCATCTGGAATCGGCCGGCCAGATAGGAGTGGAACCACTGCCACGCAGTGCCTCCTACTCCCAAGTCAGCCAGCCTATCCAGAAGGATACCATGGTTGATGGTATTGAAAACCGCTGAGAGGTCCAGGAGAACCAACAGGGATGCACTCCCCCTGTCCCTCTCCCTGCACAGGTCACCATACAGGGTGACCAAAGCAGATTCAGTACCATAACCAGGTCTGAAGCCAGACTGAAATGGGTCCAGATAATCCGTTTCATCCAAGAGTGCCTGGAGTTGTCCTGCCACCACCCGCTCTAACACCTTGCCCAAAAACAGAATATTGGCCACCGGTCTAAAGTTGGTGGCCACCTCTGGGTCCAGGGATGCGCTCTTTGGGAACGGCCAGATCACTGCCTCCTTCAAGGGGCCTGGGACCCGGCCCTCCCTCAGTGAGCCATTAATAACCTCCTAGATCCAGGGACGAATCCCGTAACTGGCCTCCTTAAGTAGTCAGGAAGGGCAAGGGTCAAGAAGACAGGTGGTAGGACGTACCATCCCAAGCACCTTGTCCACATCATCAGGCCGCAGTAACTGAAACGCATCCATTAAAGATAGACCAGACGGAGCTCTGAACACTTCCCATACTGGAACAGTATCAACTGTGGAGTCCAGATCATGGCGAATCTGAGCAATTTTTTCTTTAAAGTGCTGGGCAAAGTCATCACAGTGGGCTGCCAAAGGTGCGACCATGTCATTTTCCTGGCCAGCATGTGTTAGGCCTCACACTATTTGGAACAGCTCCGCCAGATGGCACTGTGAGGAAGCAATGGAAGCAGAGAAGTACTGCCTCTTCGCCATCCTCACTGCCGCAGCATAGGCTAGATAATGACATGTAAGTGTGTTGGGTCAGAGTCATCCCAAGATTTCCTCTACCTGCGCTCTAATCGTCTCCCAGCCTGCTTCATCACCTGCACTTCAGGTGTATACCATGGTGCCGAGCGGGCTTTGCTAGGTGGGAAAGAATGCTTAGGAGCAATCATGTTGATTGCCCTGGTCATCTCCCTATTCCACAAATCGACCAGGACATCAACAGGAACGCCAGCTTGAGCTGCCAGAAAATCCCCGAGAGCCCTCAGAAATCCATCTGGATCCATCTTGCTCTGAGGATGGACCATCTTAATAGGGCCCGCACCCTTCTGGAGGGAGGAATCAGCTCCAAGCACAAACCTCACAAGGAAGTGGTCTGACCATGACAAAGGAGTTAAGGTCAAGTTTCTCACTTCCAGGCCACCCTCTTCCTGTCCTGTCAAGAAAACCAGGTCAAGCGTGTGACCTCTTTCATGGGTTGGGCCAGTGATATGTTGAGACGGTCCCATGGCTGCCATGGAAGCCATGAAGTCCTGAACTGCCCTGGATAGAAATGCCTTGGCATGAGTTAAAGTCCCCCAGGAGCAACATCCTCAGGGGCCCCCAACACCAGATCCGAGACGATCTCCATCAGCTCAGGCAGGGAGTCTGCTGGGCCGGTAGAGTCCCTAATCTGTCTCAATCACCCAACATCAGGTACAAACACTCAAAACCTGGCCTCAAAGGGACAGGAAGCCCTGTGAGGGAAATGTTGGCTCAATGAATTAATGTGACCCCCCCCCCCCCGGGCGTGATTGGTGTTGTACCAAGTATCCGGGCGGGCATAATTGCATGAGGGAGACATCTCCCCCTTCACCCACCCAGGTCTTGGTAATACGTGCTAGGTCAGTCTCCTCATCCAAGATCAAGTTATGAATGAGGAATGTCTTGTTATGGACCCACCTGGCATTCAACAGCAACATCATCAGGCCCAGGGGGTGGCTGACATTGCTGCCAGGATCCTTCTGGTTGGGGGAATAACCAGAAGAGGGGACCGGTATCAAACATAGGTCCCTCCTTCTCCTGTGCTGGCCAGTTAGACCCCCAATGCCATACCTCCCCCTGCCCAGCACGACCCCAATGGTGGCGCCCTCATACTCGCCAGGTAAAACCATCCCAAGTTAAAACCAAATAAACCACTGTCACTCAAAAGAAGAAGAAAAAGAAAAGAAAAAAGAAAGAGAGAGAGAAAAGGCAGAGTCTCTGGCCCAGTCCAGTCCCTTGTGGCCCAAACGACAGTGCACTGCTCTTTGCCCATTGCTGTTCAGCCACTGGTGCGATGTCCGGCGTGAGTCTCCCGGGGTTCCCTGGGTGCGCCCGGCAGGAAAAGAGCTCCGTCCGCCCCGCCCATGACAGCTCCGCCCCCACCACAGCACAGCTCTCACCTGTGCCTACTGAGGTGAAGGGAGCGAGGGCGAGAGTGTGGAGTCTCTTCTGTGGCACAGATGACAGTGGCAGTGTCTTTGTCACCTGTGCTGCACTCGACAGTGCAGGTCAGCATGGCGAGGTGCAGGGGGCCAGTCTCAGGGCGCGATGTCCAGCGTGCGCCCGGCAGGAAAAGAGCTCCGTCCGCCCCACCCGTGGCAGCCAGTTTAAAGGCTTATCTAGTCCTTCATTCAGCTACACAGAGGTCATCCCTAGAAATCCACAGGAACCCTTCCACTCATGTTCCCCAGCAACTGGTATACATAAGCATACAGTCTGTAATGTTGGAGGTAGCATAGAGCTATCAGGCTATAAATTATAGCAGTACCTTCTATGAATTTCTCTAACCCCTTTTTAAAGATATCCCTTTTTAAAGATATTACATCTTGTGGTTGTGAATTCCATAGTTTAAATACTTGCTAGGAGAAGTGTTCTCTTTCATCTGTTTCTGAATTTCTCACCCTTCAGCTTAATTAGGGTAGAGTCTTTTCTACACTGTTGCATATTTTAAAACACCTCTAGCCTATCTCCCAGACTCTCCTTTTTTCCTAAGTTAAATGGCCCCAGACACTGAAATCTTTTCATATAAATTTCCAAAGACTTGATCATTTTGATTGATCTAATTTGCATTTTTTCAATTTTCACACATTTATTTATTTATTTGATGCAATGACTGGAAATGTATGTTGTGTTCCAGGTGTGGTCACACCATAGATTTGTGTAAAGGTAGTATGGCAGTTTTGTTGTTGCTTTTGTTCTGTCAAGTAATCTCCAACTATGAATGAATGCCCTCCAGCATGTCCTGTCCCCACAGCCCTGCTTAGCTCTTAGAAATTCAGGACTATGGTTTCCTTTAAGGAGTCAGTCCATCTCCTGTTTGATCTTTTCTTCTTCTCCTTCACCTTTCCCTACCATGATTGTCCTTTCCAGTGAATCTTGTCTTCTCATGATGTGCCCAAAGTATAACAGCATTTTCCCCCATTTCTGCTCCTAGGGAAAGTTCTGCTTGATTTGATATAGAGCCTACTTGTTCATCTTTCTGCTGGTCCAGGGTTTTTGCAAAGCTCTCCTCCAGCACCATGTTTCAAATGTGTCAAATTTCTTCCTATCAGGTTCTTCACTGTTCAGCTTTCATATCCATACATAGTGATTGGGAATGCAATACTGTGAATGATCTTGGCCTTGTTCTCCTGTGAAGCATTCTTACACTGGTTGGTTTTTTCTAGTTCTTTCATTGCTGTCATTTTAGATTTTCTTGGCTGCACTCTCTTTCAATTGATGACTGAGTCAAATTTTGCAAAATCTTTCACAATGTCAATGACTTCATTGCTGCAGTAAAGTTGTATAATTTACCTGTGGTCCTGATTTTTGTTCCCTTAATATTCAGTCCCATGCTAGATAAATGTCAAAGGAATAAAAAGAAGTCCAGTTATGGGATGGATTGCTTCCACAAAGGAAGCTATCACCTTGAGTTTAGAAATGCTGAGCAGGCATGTGAAGGACAGGATAATTTGGAGGACATTCATTCATAGGGTTGCCATGAGTCAGAATTGAATTGTTGATATATAACAGGAAAGGCAGTGCACTTCTAAAAGTCATGTTTGTGCATGTCCGCTTTTGGAGAAATCCTTCCTTGATCCAGAGGATCTTAATAACACCAGACTGGTAAGCAAATATTCCTTTTCTGGGCAAGGTTCTTGAGAGTGTGGGTACCAACCAGCTTCAGGCACTAGTGGTCATGAGACAGATTATTTGGATCCATTCCTATCAAGGTTTAGTTGTAGTTTTGGCATGGAAGCAGCCTTAGTTACCCTGCATGATGGCCTATGCCAGGAGAGAGATGAGGGGAATGTGACCCTGTTCTCTTGGAGCTCTTGGTAGCTTTTGACACCACTGACCATGGTATCATTCTGGGGTGACTATTTGAATTGGGAGGGGGAGGGGGAGGGGAACAATAGTTCTTCTCCTAGTTAGAAGGCCATTTACAGAAGATGATGCTTGGTTAATAACCCATGGGTTCTCTTCCATGGAATTTCTCAGAGGTTTCTTTGGTCTCCAGTGTTATTTAACATCCACAGAAAACCACTGAGTGGGATCATCTAGAGTTTTGGAGGTAGGGTTAGGGCTAGATTGCTAACAGTATATTGATGATATGCAGCTATTTCTCCTTGTCATCATCAGCAGGTGAGGCTGTGAATGTGCTAAACCTATGTTTGCCTGTGACAGTGGACTTGGTCATGAGACTGATTTGATGAGGACTAAGAAACCATGTAGGCAAGACTGAGATGCTGTTGGTGGATGGTTCCTCTGACTGGATGGTGGTTTTCAACTTGTTTTACATAGGATTAAACTCTGCATGAAAGAAGATTCATAGCTTAAGGGTTCTTGATCCATCACCCTGATCCATCATGTGACCTCAGTAGTTTGGATTGCATTCTCCTATCTTCACTTGGTGGCCAATCTCTGCTACCTAGGCAGGAATAGCATGGTTTCAATAATCTACAGTTTGCAATAATCTAATTCAGAGATTACCAATGTACTCTATGTGGCGCTGCCTTTAGAATCATAGAACAGTAGAGTTGGATGGGGCCAGGAAGGCCACTGGACCCAACCCCCTGCTGTTGCAGGTCACTAACTTACACTGTCCCACTCAGATGAGTGTCTAGTTTCTTCTTGAATATCTCTAGTGTGGGAGAGCCCAGGACCTCTTCAGGCAACTGGTTCCACTGTCATATTGCTCTAACAGTAAGGAAACTTTTCCTGATATCTAGCCTTTATCTGGGTTGTCACGACTTGAGTTGATTATTCTGTGTCCTACACTCTGGTATCATGGAGTGGTATAGAAATGAAAATACTGCTCCTCCTACTAATGTCTTCTGCTGGGTTTCTAGTAGATTCTTTTCTTTAAACTTAGATGCTTTGTGGCCATTTTCAGCTATGTATATGTTTCTTTATTTTTAATGTCTACTTAAAACAACCTTAAGTACAATTACTAGAGAGTAAACTCCTTTGCACATAGTGAGATTTATTCCTGAGTAAATATCTGAAGATTCCATTGTACAATTTTAGTTTATAAATACATTCCTGTGAAAGCAAGCAAAGAAATACGTCAGGGTTTGTGTGCCTTATGGAGAAAAAGTCATAAACTGAGAATTAAGCCCACTCCTCCTGCAGTTCTGGCCCACAGTGAGGGTCTCCAAAAAGAGGAGATCGAGCAAGTTCAAAGTGTTTCTTAAAATGCTTCAAATATAACCTATAGCTTGTCAATGAGTTTCTAAGTGAAGCAGTTACGGAAGTCATAAGCGCTTCCCAAGTAAATGGCAGTGAGCATTGGTGATATACAGTATGTAAGTGATGCAATTCATGGCATTTCGGAATTGGTATTTTGAATTGTTGCTAGATGAGAACAGGCAGCACAGAAATAGAGCATTGATGTAATGTGCACACAGAGACTTACTCCTTTCTAGAGCTGTTCTGCACTCGCTGAAACTCCTACACAGTTTCTCTGTGTAGCTTTTTACCATGTCTTGCGGATAACTTGCTGTAATTATTTCCAGATAGAAATTTGAAGAAGAGTTTTATGCTTTCTCCCAAATACCATATTTCCACATGTAAAGTGAAACCTTTCATAACTGTTGCTACCCAGCTAGCTACCAATGACTGAATGGTCTAATAATAGTGATAAAGATTGTATACAGCCTTAATGTCTTTGCTTTTGCTCCTTAAAATATATGATCTGCAAAAGACAGTGCATCAATAGCTGTGTATTATTTCCAGTATACTCTGTATGGAAAGAAAAATGTTAGTTTCTTAATGTTGTCTTGTACTGTTCAGTTTTATGTGGGGGAAAGCTTTGCTTTAAATGTAGTCATTTATGCAACACTTAGCTTTTTTTGCTTTTATAGGAAGGTACTTAGAAACTAAAAATGTCATGAAAGTAATGCTCTTTGAAAGGAGCAGTTCAACACTTTACTCTTCATGTTCTTATTTTTAGAGCAGTGCAATCTCTGTCTCCTTTTTACACTGCGTATTTAATAGAGCACATATGATTGCTAAAAGAAGATAAGCTGAAATCTAGGTGTGTTGTATTGATTAACAGTTCCATCATTCTAATATTTGAGTGGCATTGTTAGGGCAGTATTGAATAGATTCTTGATCCTAGTGCCTGCAGATTGACAGGTTTGGCTGGAATTTTTTAACTTGCACACTAATGTATTTTTAAATCACTTATGCTTCAGCATTTGGAAAGAAGGTGTGCCTTTTATTCTTGCAAAGCAATAATGAAATTTTAGTAGTTGGTGTTCTCATGTAGGTTAACAGCACTTGAAAATATACTATAATTCTTACTGGACAGTATTTACAATCTCCTTAGGGGAAAAGGTACTTCACCATTAACCAGCCTAAAAGAGCATAGAAACTAAGTATAGAACTTTTAAAAGAAACATAGATTACAGAATATGGTTATTAGAGTATTGGAAGAAACAGAGTATGATTATGCTATAAAAAGGATATTATGACCTGAGTGATTGGATATGAATTTGGGAAGGAGTATTCCCCTAAAGTTTGGGGGAAGTACTCTGAAACTGAGGTAATGGCAGGGCTGAAAAAGCTAACTAAACCTTTTAAGTTTTCAGTATCTCTGCTAATTAAACAAAGTTTTCATTTTGAAGCTTCAAGATTTTTTCAAGGGTAAACTTCCCTTACAGCAGCAAGAACAAGACCAAAGTAGTAACAGTGTTACAAAAGTATTCATCCTTGTTTTGGCAAAGAAAATATTAAACTTTATCTTTCCCGCTGAAGGTCTCTTCTATTCTCTTTAACTCTGCTTTTACATTCAGATAATTCAGGCTTTGCGGGTAATAGTCTTAGATTGTCTTTTAATTACTTGACTCGTTTTACAAAATAGTTAACTATATTTTGAGCATTTTTTTGGCCGGGGGAGAGCATATATTGAACTAAGGCCTGCTTTCCACATAATGACAATAGTGACTATGGGTTGTTGTTGAATTGTGGGTTACATATGACCCCCTGCATTGTGGTTTAACTATAGGCTGTTAAGCACAAACAACCCAGGAAAAGAATCAATGATTTGTTATTGGATTGTGAACTCTGGGTTGTTTGTAATTAACAAGGCAAACCTAAACCATTGTGCAGAATGGTGGCAGCCTATGATTCAAACCATACACAACCTCTACTCTTGGTTGTTTTGAGTGAACTAGTCAAAGATTGCAGTTCATGATAGCATTCTTTGCACTCTTAGCACATTTTCTTTGACCTATCAATTGGACAATAATTCAATTCTGTTTTGAACTTTTAACGAGTAACTAGATGCAACACATAAAGAGAACTGTTATTTACGAAAAACAGTTAATACTTGCAAAAATGTTTACATAGTGAGTACTGCTGAATGTTTTGGAACTTCGCAGATCTAACCTGAAATCATTTTACTTGATAGGATACCATCAGGGTTCTAGTCCTTTCGTCTGAGATCCACCATATTTAATGTGATATGTACCTTTGATTCTGTAATCAGGATGACTTAATTATCAAGTTTCACATACAAAATTCAGCTTTGTGCAAATAGGTTATATATTTTTTCCTTAAATGTTTGTTTATCTCTTGGCCTTTCTACACCTACTGTGAAACTAATGTAGAAAAATGTAGTCATTAAAGTATAGTCTATTTTCTTGGAATGTCATGATAGTTTTAAATTCTGAGAACAGTGAATGGAAGGAAGCTCTTGTTAGAGGGTGATCCTACCCTGACTTCCCTGCTGAACCACCCAATCCAGTTTGAAATGATCAGCTTTTCCTTACCTTTCCAACAATTCCATGGCCCATCCTGTTTCCCTTAGGAGGGTTCCCAAAGTGTGGGAGTTCTCAAAGTCCTTCTGGTCATAGTTCTCAGGATTTTACTGTTTATAGATAACTGTTATCTCTAAATCATGTGTTTTAAATCTAATATTACTTTTCTTTTCTTTTCTTTTTTTTTTGGTAGAGGGGCAACTGAGACATATAAAAACTGGAGAGCCATTTGTTTTTAACTATCGTGAAGATTTGCATAGGTGGAATCAAAAGCGTTATGAAGCACTTGGAGAGGTATGTATTATATGCACGCAAGATCTTATTGTATAGTATGCAGTTTTGTGCTATTAAGTAAGGGAGAAATGCTCAATATTTTCAGGAGATGATCACATTGAATATTCTTGAAAGTATGGATGATATGATCTATTAAGAAGGAAGCTGCTGTATTTAAACTGCATAGCAGCCATACAAAGTAGCACAATCAACTGACTAGTTACCAGGTATCAGGTGAACAAGAAAAGCTGTCAGTTTTGTACAAATCTTTCAGTAAATATTGCAATAGGGCCTTCTGCTTGCAGTTCAGTACCTATACGTATTTATGGAATTGGGTCTTCCATTTCAGCATCATTCTTTCTAGCTATGATGTGATTCTATTTTTAATATGTTAATAGGAAGGCAAATTCCCTCCATAAAGTACTGAAGTAAATATTTTTACATTTTATTTTTCTTGCTTAGATTTTAATTCATGTTGAGTTCCATATTGTTTACCTTGTAGCTTTTCACTGATCTACATGATTATCCCATTTTTGACTAATGAAACCTAAACTTTATTTTGACCAGTATGTTATATAAATTAGTAATAATGTGTGAGGAATATGGTTTGGAAGTGGGAGTCTGTCAGTTTTACTTAGCCTGGCTCTCCGGACTACACCCTGCTTTCTCTCTTCCCTATGTCTGTCTTGAGCCAAGTGTTGACATGGGCATCCAGTGGGCAGTGAGTCCAGATGAATCTGCAAGCTCTGCTTGTGCATATGCTGCACATGCATCCACTGTGCACATGAAATTTTGCTCCTGCATATGTGACTTGCAGGCTTTGCCTACTTTGCACAAATAATAACGTAATTCGTGCAAAGAAGCTGCTAGGTGTTCTTGTGCATTCATGGGCTTGTCTTGCTTCCTGGAAAGAAGTCAGACAAGCACAAGAGAGCTGGATTCCAGCTTGATCTCATCTCTATAAGTGAGTTTCTAGATCTTGGTGGTATTAAGTTAGGATTTTTTAAAGCCTGCTATTACTTTACCCACTGTCTTTGTTTTTTCATGAATGTGAACTTTGCTTTTTCCCAATTAGAAAGGATGCAGCCAGCACACCTATAAGATTTAGGATAGCTAGGCATTACCAAGCTTCTGCTTTTTCTTTGCTTGATTTTGTACCTTATGAATGACTTTCAAAGCTCTTTCTCTCTCTCTCCACATATACACACACAAACACACACACTTTCATTTTCTCACTTGTTTGTATTCGAATTTAAAAACACAGGAGGAATATCAGAGGTCTCTGTAGCCATCTATTCAGCATGGGGTTTTTCTGCGAATAAATAAAATGCTTGAGTACATTAGACAAAGGGTGGGAAGTAAAAAGGCCACCACAGTACATTCTCTCCATATTTATTAAGAAGCAAATGTCTTTATATTAAGGCATTTTTCTAAGAAACAAAGTATTTAGGCTCACTCTCAGCTGACTGTGCATAAGATTGCCGGATTAGTCAGGTTTCAAATTCGTGATGCAGAATTTCAGAATAATTGAAGGTAGCATAACTTTATGATCTCATTACATGAGAAAATTGGCTTATTGAGGGAGTTTTAGCCAGCATTGAGATTGTTCAAACATGTTTGTTTAATTTGAAAATTGATAAGAACATGTTTCTTTTTGGCAATATACAGACAATGTGGCAATGCGTGACTTTGCATTCAGTCCTGTGTGGTACAAAGAAAAGCCCGATGGACTGAAGCATGTTGGCACCAATTCTGCTGGGCAGGAAAGGCATGACACCTGCTTATATCTCTCACAGTGGCATTCCCTGTTTACATCTATCAAGAGTTAGATGTCACCCTCTGAAGAAATAAGAACATCAAAGAGAGTATATGCTTCATAGAGATAGCTTACCATGGGGAGGGATTACTCTGTTGCACTTCCATCTGTTGCAAATACACCTAAGCAGTGTTGTGTCTTGCCAGCAACAGTTGCATGACAATCAGATGCTACATGCCTTCCCCTCAAGATGCGTTATGTGGTTGAAAGCTCTCCACCTATGAGGCATGAAAGATCATATTGCAAGTACGTGCTAGTTACTGGATTGTACCAAAGGATTTCAGGAAAAGATCAGTCTGTGCTCTATAGACTACAACAAAGCCTTTGACTGTGAGGATCATGGGAAGCTATGGATGGTTGTGAAAGAGATAGACATGCCTCTGCACTTGATGGTCTTGATGGATAATGTATCACGGGCAAGAAGCTACTGTTAGGACAGAAAATGGAGAAACAGAATGGTTTCTCTTAGGCAGTGGTGTCAAACAAGAATGCATTTTATCTTCCTCTCTGTTTAGTCTGCACACAGAAGACAACATAAGGAAAGCTGGATTGAATCAGAGGAAGAAGTGAAAATTGGCAGAAGAAACATCACTAATTTAAGATAGGCAGATGATACCGTATCAGTGGCAGAAAGCAGCAATGACTTGAAATGACTCCAGAGAAAAGAGAAAGAAGAAAGTACAAAAGGAGGTCTGCAGCTCAATATTAAGAAAACAAATACAATACAAAACAAAAAAACATGTTCACAGATGAATTATGGAACATTACTGTTAATAGTGAAAAAACTGACATATTCAAAGATTTCACATATCTTGGCTCAGTCATCAATTCAAAGGGAGACTGCAACCAAGATATTCAAAGACGACTGGGACATGGAATGGCAGCAGTGAAGGTATTAGAAAAGATTTAGTGTAAGGACAGTTTTCTGCAGTTCAAGGTTAAGATGACCCAAACTATTTCATTCCCAGTCACAATGTATGGGTATGAAAGCTGGGCACTAACAAGAAAAAAAAGGCATTCAAAACATGGTGTTGGAGGAGAGCTTTGCAAATACTCTGGACTAACAGACAAAACAGATCAAGCAAGAGCTTTCCCTAGAAGCAAAAATGACAAAACTGAGGTTGTCATACTTTGAACACACCATGAGGAGGCAAGATTCACTGGAAAAGACAAATCATGTTAGGGAAATTTGAGGGCAGAAGTTGAAAGGAAAGCCCAAATATGAGATGGTTTAAATCCATAAAGAAAGCCACAGCCTTGAACTTGGAAGAGCAGAATGGAATTGCTGTGAACAGAACATTTTGGTGGACTTTTGTTCATAAGGTTCTCACAGCTTGAAAATGAATTGATGGCACATAAAAACAATGCTTCAATTGGACAATTGTGATGATACACATTTGTAATGGGGAAAAAACCCTAAACTTTGCCCAATAATCCAGAGGAAAATTGCAGTAACACACCAAATTGTACTAGTGTTAAAAAAAAAAAAGAGCACTGACCCTGACCTAGTGGCAGTGAGCTACTTCCCATTCAGAGTTGGAAAATCCACAGTGAGATTTATAGAAACTATGTGATCTTTATCTGGTAGATATAAAGGTAGGCAACAAGAAAATAAAAATCCCAGACTTCCATGACATTGGAAACCTTTGTGCATAAATTTATCCCATATAAAAATCCTCATTCTTGAGGGGAGCGTACTGGAGTTTCTTACCAAAATCTACAGTGTAGTTTTGTAGGTAGGTGGATGAAAAGGGCAAGTTCATGTATGCTCTGTTTCTAGGAAAAGAAAAACACTTGTGACATAACTTTAGGAATTCTCCTTTGTCAGATAGGGTAGCAATGTGCAATGATCTACATTCTACTCTGTAACAGTTAACAGAATCTATGTTCCCTCTCATCCTGGCTTCTACTTTGGATGATGGTGCCTGAAAAAGGGGGGGGGGACTTCCTCAATCTCCATAGACAGGTGAGACTACCCAAAGAGAGAGCATTTGCATAAGGAAAGTCACAGTGGTGTACTCTCTATACACTTCTGGATGTTCAGAAAGACCTATAGCACCTGTTACTGTCATGCACTGCATTCTTTACAATGTCTATGAATTGAGTGGTAATTTGCTTCTGGAGTAGAACTGGAGCTGACAATGATGCCATCACTGGCTTCAGCAGCCTGCCACACACTTTCTGAATTCCATGCTTAGAAATGGCATTTTGTCATAAAGTATGAACGGTGTGTCCAGCTATAGCTGACTTCATCTGGGACCATTATCTATGGCTATGTACTGTGTATTAAAATTTTTCTCCCCACAAACAATTAAAGGAAGCACTTGCTCACTTCCTATTTATAACCTGTGCAATACTTTAGTAAACCATTTTTTGTAATTCACCCCATGTCCAACATATGTGAGGAAAGCATGTAAATTGGTAAAGAAAACAGACCTGAAGTGGGGGAAGGCATAGGGTGAAGACAGCAGTGAGGAGAGTTGGTAATGATGGCTATCCAGTGCCAGCAGAAAGGTGACAGAAAATGTAGTTTTTATGCTTACCACTCACGCTAACTTCACTACTCTACAATTTGTGGGGAAGAGGGGTGGAAGATTAGGAAGTAATAGAATGGTATGTATGGATGAAAAAAGGGCTGGTGTGGTGCTCCAACCTGGGAGAAAGAATGGATGGAACAGTAGTAAAGGGAAGCACCTCCCCAAGAGGAAGGTACATGTTAGAGCAAAAGACCAGCATGATACTGCAACCTAGAAGGAAGGCAGAGCAGTGGGGAAGAAAAATGTGAGAAATTACACCATCATAGAGTCTAATGGCTACTTGCAGCATTGATCAAATGCAGAAAGGATGTTTTATTCCTTGCACAAAACTCAAATAGGAAGTGGATGCCCTGGAGTAGAGGAATGATTTTTTTCCCCTACTGGAATAAGGCTTCTAATTAAGATGCCAGGACAACATTGCTAAGCAGAGCCAAAGAACCCCCCAACAATAGCTGACCAGTGTCAAAGAGGTCACAAAGGCTCCAAGGACATATTTCAGGAGCAGGTGAGGAGGATAAGAATGATTTGTTGACTTTGCTGTCTATTTGCTGACTTATTCTAATTTTTGGTCTTTTCTCTCAGATTAGACATTTTCCTCTAGTTGTTTTTGGAATTACCTTCCTAAGTGGATTGCACTGGGTTCTCAATGCAGTAAAATAAATAGGTTG